CTCCCATTTCATGCATCCCAATGACATATGCATGGATGTACATATAATTTCAATATTTTGACAATGGGAAATTTGGCACAATCTAAATTAACATGTTCTCATTAGTCATTTTTAGCATGTTAACACATAGTGGGCATGATAAAACAACATCTAAACATATTTTACACATGAAACAAGTCATAATCAAGCTCTTAAAAATTCTCTAGACATTATTCATACAATCATAGATACAATTAACTCCCAATTAAACAGGTTTGACACAACAAGGAGGTGTAATTCACAATAGAATAAAAAAGGAGTGGATTAAGATGCTCCTACCTCAAATTTGCACAAACCCTTAAAATGGGTCTCTAAATTCGAAGTCCCTAGGAAGACCAAAAACTGAAATTACTTGTATGAGCGCATAGAGCTCGTCGTGGGCTTCGTTTTGCCTTAAACGGCACTTAAAAACACTAAGAGATGAGGGAGAAATCAACGAGTGAAATTCATGAAGCAAGAGAAAGAAAAAAGAAAAGTGAGAGCGGAAAGCTTCTGTCATCGGGAAGAGAAAGAATCAGATTAGAGACCAAAAAAAAAAAAAAAAAAACGTGGTCTTATGACCACTTTACAAAAGCTGTGGGTCCCACCTTTTTTTTTTTTTTTTTTTTTTCTTTTCTCTTTTTCTTTATAACTTACAGACATTACACTCTCCCTAACTTTAAAAGATTTGGTCCCCGAAATCAAGACATACCTGGAGAAGAAAACAACTCTGGATACTTGGAGCGAACCTCCTATTCGAGGTCCCAAGTAGCCTCCTCTACTCCGTGGTGTCTCCAAAGGACTTTCACCATTGGTATCGTTTTGTTCCTCAACACCTTTTGTTGTGTGTCAAGAATCTGAACTGGTCTTTCCTCGTAGGAAATATCATTATCAATGTCTATATCAATCCAACTCAAAATGTGAGATGGATCTGGCTTGTACTTCCGTAACATCGATACATGGAAAACATTATGGACCCTATCCAACTGTGGCAGCAAAGCAAGTCTGTAGGCAACCTCTCTTACACGGTCCAAAATCTTAAACGGTCCAATGAATCGTGGCTACAACTTACTACTTTTTCCGAATCTCATCAATCCCTTCCATGGAGAAACCCGTAGAAAAACATTGTCTCACACCTCAAAGGATAACGATCGTCTCCACTTATCCGCATAACTCTTCTGTCAGTTCTGAGCTGTAAGTAGTCTCTGTCTGATCAGCTTAATCTTCTCAGTAGTCTCGAGTACAATGTCGGGTCCTAAGACGGCTGTCTCGTCTACCTCAGTCCAACAAATAGGAGACCTACAAGGTCTACCATACAACGCCTCAAATGGAGCCATCTGAATGCTCGCCTGATAACTGTTGTTGTAGGCAAACTCAATAAGTGGAAGGTGATCCTCCCAACTACCACCCAAGTCAAGCACATATGCTTGAAGCAAATCTTCCAAAATCTGGATAGTCCGCTCCGACTGACCGTCTGTCTGTGGATGGAATGCCGTACTAAGATGCAATGCTGAACCAAACGCTGCTTGAAGTCCTTCCCAGAACTTCGAAGTGAACTTAGCATCCCTATCTGACACAATGGTTACAGGAACTCCATGTAACCTTACAATCTCTTTCACATAAAGAACACCAAGCTTCTCTGCATCATCTATTGCCTTAATAGGCAAAAAGTGAGCCGTCTTGGTCAATCTGTCAATGATGACCCATACGGACCCATTGCCCCTTCGTGACCTTGAGAGACCTGTCACAAAATCCATAGCAATATGCTCCTATTTCCATTGCGCTACAGGTAATGGTTGTAACAAACTGGCTGGTCTCTGATGCTCGGCCTTCACCTGCTGACAGGTAAGGCATCTAGCCACAAACTGTGCAACATCTTTCTTCATCCCGTTCTACCAATACTAACGTCTCAAATTGTGATACATCTTGGTACCACCTGGATGAACTGCAAAGCGGGAAGTGTGAAGCTCCCGTAGGACGTCCTCACCACAAACCGTAAGAACCACCAACAAACCCCTAAACCGTAGACCCCCATCTGCATACAAGGCCCAATCTTTCACTGTCTCACCACTAGAGATCAAAGCGTGAATGGCATCTAAATCCGGGTCCTGTCTCTGTGACTTAATCACTCGTATAATAAGAGTAGGCTGAGCCACAAGACTAAACAAGAATGCCAGCTCGCTATCAACATCGTCATCAAAATAATACAATCCCATCTCTGCCAAAACCTTAAGCATCTTCCACTTCCGAATAGCCAGACAGGCCAAAGTTCCACGAGATTTTCGGCTTAAGGCATTGGCTACCACATTTGCCTTGCCCGGATGATACTGCAAATCAAAATTATAATCTTCCAAGAATTCAACCCATATTCTCTGTCTATTGTTCAAGTTCTTTTGGGAGAAAAGGTACTTGAGACTTTTATGATCCGAGTACACCTCGAATCTCTCACCATACAAGTAGTGTCTCCAACACTTCAAAGCAAACACAACTACCGCCAACTCCAAATCATGAGTAGGGTAGTTAAGCTCGTGAGTCTTCAATTGCCGAGACCCATAAGCCACTACTCTACCATCCTGCATCAACACACACCCTAAACCATCACGGGAAGCATCACAATAGATCACATAACCCAAGCCACGCTTAGGTATCACCAACACTGGAGCCGTAGTCAACTTTATCTTCAATTCCTGGAAAGATGACTCACAGGCTTCATTCCATGCAAACTTAATCCCTTTCTGGGTTAAACGGGTCATAGAAGCTGCCAAACGGGAGAAATCTTTCACAAATCTCTGGTAGTAACCCGCTAGACTAAGAAAACTACGGATCTCAAACACATTCTTGGGTTGCTCCCAATTCAAAACAGCTTCAATCTTTGATGGATCAACTGACACTCCGCCTTCTGAAACAACATGTCCCAAAAATTTCATCTCCTGTAGCCAAAACTCACATTTCTCATATTTGGCATACAATCGGTGCTCCCGCAAAATCTATAATACAATACTCAAATGGACCTCGTGTTCCTCCTGAGATCGTGAATACACAAGAATGTCATCCACGAAAACTACCACAAACTGGCCCAAGTAATCGTGAAAGACGCGGTTCATTAAGTCCATGAATGCCACTGGAGTATTAGTCAAGCCAAAAGGCATAATAAGAAACTCATAGTGTCCATACCGTGTACGGAATGCTGTCTTCGGGATATCCTCATCCCTAACCCGCAACTGATAATAGCCAGACCTCAAGTCAATCTTGGAGAAACAATTGGCTCCCCTTAACTGATCAAATAAATCATCTATCATTGGCAAAGGATACTTGTTCTTGATGGTGGCACGATTCAACTTCCGATAATCGATGCACAACCTTAAAGAACCATCTTTCTTCTTAGCAAACAAGACCGGTGCGCCCCATGGTGACACACTCGGTCAGATGAAACCCTTCATCCTCAACTCATGAAGTTGCCTCTTTAATTCTTCTAATTTAACTGGTGCCATACGATACGGTGCCATAGAAATCGGCGCGGTACCTGGCATCAAGTCAATAGTAAACTCCACTTCTCGGTGTGGAGGCAACTCTGTCAAATCCTCCGGAAACACATCTAGAAAATCACGAACAACTGCAGGATAATATTCTTCCACAACATCATCCTCTTCGGCTATAAGGCTAGCCAAAAAGTAATCACCACGACTCTGTCCATGAATTCCATAAAATGATGAAATGTGGGAATCACTCCGATCTCCCACGAAAAAGAAACAGTCTTTTTCGGGAGTACAAACTGTAACCCTTCCTCTGAAATAGTCGATCATGGCATGAAAGGAAGCTAACCAATCTATCCCGAGAATGACATCAAAGCTAGTCATCTCCAGGAGGATAAGGTCAAACACAAAAGTCCGCCTGGCTATCACAATGGAACAGTCCCTCACGACTCGGCTCAAAGACATTGAAACTCCAACTGGCGTATCAACACACAACGCCCGATCCATAAAACTAACCTCTAACCCCGATGCAAGTGCAAATATGAGATGCACCAGAATCAAACAAAACACGGGCCCAAGAACTAAACACTGGAAATATACCTCGGAGAACTAAAGATCCAAGAGACGCATCAGTCGGTGCAAGGGCAAAGACATGCCCCTGCGGTGCCTGTGCCTGTGAACTACTAATCTGAACACCAGACTGTTGTGCCGACATAGTAGGAGTATCCCTCCTAGCTGGTCGTGAGCCCTGAGAAGACAAGGCAGGCTGTGGTGGTGGCGGCGGTGGTCTGAAACCTGATTGAACCATTGCCGACTGTAACGGCCTCTGCTGTGACCCTCTGCCACTAGTGGTGCCTGCTCTCTGACTCAGACAGTCCCAAATCAAATGGCCCTGCTGGCCACACCCATAACAAGCCTTTGGAGCTGAAGAAACTGAAGTCAATCTCATAGGACAACTAGACTTGTAATGCCCAGGCTGCTAACATTGATAACAAACAACTTCACCCTTGTCAGATCCAACTGGCATAGGAGTGGTAGGAACAGATCGTGTATATTGTTGCCCCTGAAACTGAAATGAACCACCCTTGTTCTTCTTCTAAGAAGATCCTTCTGAGGATGGCCCTGCACCCTTCTTCTACTTCCATTGTTCTCTTCTCGCATCCTTATCTCTGTTATCCGCTTTTAACATTAAAGCCCTTTCTACTACTTCAGAATATACCTTGATGAACTGTGCCATGATCAACGGCCTCATCCGATCATTAAGACCAGAAACAAACTTCCGAGCTTGTTAACTTCATCTCTCACCATTTCTAGAGCAAAGCGAGAAAGTGAAGTGAACTTGTTTTCATATTCTGCCATTGACATGCTTCCTTGGATAAGGTTATGAAACTGGTCTTGTAACTCCCATCTTTTGGAAAGCGGAAAGTACTTTTCATAAAACAATTCCTTAAACTTGTCCCAACTTATCTCCTCCACCTTGTACCAGCTCGTAACTGACTTCCACCATAATTAGGCATCCTTAGCAAACTTATAAGTAGCTAGGATGATCTTCAAATGATCCTTCGTCACATCCATTGAAATCAATTGAGTTTCAACTTGCTCCATGTAGTCATCTGCTATCATTGGATCCGTACCACCCTCAAACATAACCGGCATCAGCTGAGAAAACCCCTTAATAATCTTGAGACGTTTCTGAGCTGGCTTCTCCTTAACTTGAACTGTAGGTTGTAGTGCCGACTGCGACTGAGCAGTAATCGTTGCTCTCACGACATTTTGCAACAAACGATTCAACTCCAGTGCCACAGAACCTTCACCCACTTCTACGGGTGCTTCAACATTATCCCTCCTTGTGGGAACAACTCTTGGCGGAATCAAGTCCCTAAGAAGTGTGTCCTCATCATTTAGCTCCTCCGGATTGGAGCTGGAGCTCTTGCCAACATCACCCTTAGTCAGTCTAGGGCCAACTTCCCTGATTTCCTCACGCCGTGACATCGTTCGATAAAACAAAGGAAACAATTCAATAACGATAACACTAAGGTCCAACCGTGAACAACCCAACGCAAAAAAATACTGTACAAACATTTAGCATGTAATAATATGCAATGAACACATTAATATAGGCATATAAGCACGTAAGCAAGTAAGTAGTTAAGCATGCTTTTTCACATAGCAAAACACTTTTCCAAATAAGGAAATAACAATGCAAATGACTTCCCAGACAACCCTAGGTAAGCCTCTACTCGTCGTCCTAATGGTATTCGAACCATCGCTCTGATACCAAATTTGTAACGACCCTAGCTGATGTCAAAATTTTTTAAAAAAATCGGCATAACCTCCCCTAAAAATGGGCCTTCAACAACCTGTCCCAATGCACAAAACACATAATATCATCCAGCATCCCATTCATCCGTTCATTATACCTCAACATAGTTCCTCTCATGGTGGAACATCCACACACCAATTAATCTAAATTATCATAATTACAGTCCCAAAATACATGGTTAAGATTTAAAGTCCCTGTCTTACAATGTTACATGATACAATTGCATGGAAACATATACCATAATTCCATTAGTTTCATTTACATCAAACAAAAGATAAGTTCGTTCTTAAGTTATAAGGCCATGAATACTAACTTAGTTACATCCCCACAACTATGAATATACATAAAACGGTCAAAATACAAAATAGCAAACAACTTTCTAACAACTTTCAAGCTTGAGGTGGATTGTCGTCCACCGGTTCATTTCCAAGACATGAAAAAAATAATATAAATAGTAGGGTGAGCATAAAGCTCAGTAGGTGACACTTAAGACACAATTCTTGTGTCCTTGTGAATCCAAATAAAGCATAGGCCAATGGGAAATAGGGATCATACAATATAGGGAATTAAAACAATATGCACGTCAATTCCAATTATAAACCATGCAGTATAATGAACTGCAATGCATGCTAATGTCACTCCCCATTTTCATTCACAAAACCATCACTTTCAAATGTTAATACAGCTCGCACTTTGGTAACCCCGCCGCGACACGAGAGGAGGATTGGCTACCGTCCTTAGACCTTTGGTAACCCTGCAGCATCATCGAGGGGCCCGAATAGCTCAACCACGCTAGGGCGACTCCTTAGTCCACTTTAGGCTATATTAACCTCCGGTCCATTGGTAACCCCACAGCGACCGGGTTTATCAAAATTATTTGACAAAACTCTTCTCCCAAAATTTCCCCCATTTTCATTTCAAGACAAAGTCTCCCATTTCATGCATCCCAATGACATGTGCATGGATGTACATATAATTTCAATATTTGACAATGGAAAATTTGGCACAATCTAAATAAACATGTTCTCGTTAGTCATTTTCAGCATGTTAACACATAGTGGGCATGATAAAACAACATCTAAACATATTTTACACATGAAACAAGTCATAATCAAGCTCTTGAAAATTCTCTAGACATCTTTCATACAATCATAGATACAATTAACTTCCAATTAAACATGTTTGACACAACAAGGAGGTGTAATTCACAATAGAACAAGAAAGGAGTGGATTAAGATGCCCCTACCTCAAATTTGCACAAAACCCTTAAAATGGGTCTCTAAATTCGAAGTCCCTAGGAAGACCAAAAACTGAAATTGCTTGTATGAGCGCGTAGAGCTTGTCGCGGGCTTCGTTTTGCCTCAAACGGCACTTAAAAACACTAAGAGATGAGGGAGAAATCAAAGAGTGAAATTCATGAAGCAAGAGAATGAAAAAAGAAAAGTGAGAGCAGAAAGCTTTTGTCGTCGGGAAGAGAAAGAATCAGATTAGAGACCAAAAAAAAAAAAAAAAACGTGGTCTTATGACCACTTTACAAAAGCTGTGGGTCCCACCTTTTTTTTTTTCTTTTCTCTTTTTCTTTATAACTTACAGACATTACAGAGAGATTAGGGTTCTGTAATTTTATCCCCAAAGGTAAAGTTGAACGTAATTTTTAACATAAAAAGATTAAATGTAATTGTAAATTATGTATTTTGATTTTGTATAATGTATAAGTGTATGGGGTATTCATACATGTGGTAAATGAAAATAGTATATCAGTAATTTTTTTGAGTAAATGCTGACTGGGTGCTTACTGGATGGTGACGTGGCAAATAGGCTGAGGTGGTTTCACCTCAGCCATTGGATGTGCACTGGATCTACTCCAGTGAGAGGCGCACTGGAGCAGATTCGGATCCTTTCCAATTAATGGAACTCATGTATAAAAAAATCAAGATCAACAATCAATGGCCAAGAAAAATAATAAAATACTTAATTGGATTTTGAAATTGCCCAAAATTGTTCTAAAGTGCAAAACAATATCCCTCCTTTTGGTAAGGAAAAAATAGACTTAAGAAAACAAAACAACTTCAATTCCTCAACAATAATCAATAGCCAATCACCTAGACCATTGAACTTGATAGATTAATCAGGCAAAGTTGTACTGCGATTTTAAAGTTTTGGTAACCAAAAAAACAAACATGAAATATATGTTAAACAAATCTCAACAATAAACAATACTATAGTAGAAGAGATCAAACCCATGTGAAGGACAAACCACATCACCAAAGTAAGAGAATGCATAAGAAGACTTATAGATACGTAAACCCTAATTTGGTGGTACAAAAACAAATTAACATAAGATACCAGAGATATCGAAGAGGCCCAGGAAAGAATCCTTATCTCCTCCTTTTGCAGTCAAAACAACTTTTGGCAGGTGAGAAAGAGAAGGGCCAAGGAAAGGGATTGAAATGCATTTAGGGCGTGTTCGGCTGCATGGAAATGGAGTCTTGGAATTATAATTGGTGAAATTTGAAAAAACAACTAAGAAATTTGAACTAAAATTTTCTCAAAGGTGCTCTAATGTGAAAAAAAGAAAAAGAAAAAAGAAAAAAGGCAGCTAAACCTTAAAACAAAAGCGCCTTGCAAGTGTTAAAAAGGGGAAAAAGCTCTTACATGAACTTGTAAAGAGGTACAGGTCAAAATTGTTATATAACTTCAAGAAAGAAAAAAAAAAAAAAAAAAGAATACCCTCAAACAAACATAACATCACATTCAAAATGGTGAAAGCCACACAAACCCATCTTTTAAAAGAGCATCATTGTATTCTCTAGTTAAAAAAAATCAACTATCTATTTACAAACAGTCACATTAGGCCTCCTGAAAATAATAATAATAACAATAATAAAAAACCCTCCAATATGATTGAATGTGATCCTTCTCAAAGCCTTAAAATGATCAAAATGGATATAACCCATATGCTAAGCACGTTATTGTTCTTCTTCTTTGTAGAAAATTTGTGCTTTAGGCGAGATACGTCGAAATTGTGTCACCTCGCTGAGTATTCCCACTCCATTGTCAGCAACCTGTGCTGAGTCGGACACAATAAGCATCGTCTCTAGCAATGGGGATTTTGCTAATATAAGCTTAATAAACTCCAATTCAGGCCTTGTGCCAGAGACAAATCGCATCGCCGCTTCCCGAAGTTGATTGAAAGCGACATCTGAATGGTCTTGCATTTCCAAAAGTTCTAGAACGGGAGGTATAGCATCATTTTTATTGGAAAGCAGCTAGAAAGAAAGATGAAAACAGCTCAATTAAATAATATATATACAATATAAGAACATTTGAAACAATGAACTGTTATAGCTCACCCGAATTTGAAAATATTCCAAGTTGGGGGAGCTTTTAAGCAAGCATAGAGCAAAGGCGAGCTCGGCAATTTCTCCAAAACACAGCTCCCATAGTTCAAGATTTTGGAGGTGGTCTAAGGTAAATGGAAGCCTCTCAGGTACACCAGCCACGGTCAAAAACTAAACAAAAGCCAAAAACAGACCTAAGAAACATCATTTTCTTTACAGATGCATGAATAATGAAAAGCAATGTAGCTACCTTACCGCTACAAAACGATAGCCCAACTGCAAGGTGTCAATTACAGGTAGACAACCAAAAACCTGGGCCATTTCAGGTGCCTCTTTTTCATTGAGAGATTGCAAATGGTCAGAAATTAATTAAAAGTTCTTTTAGAAGAGGGGTATTTTTCAAATGAACAGATCCGAACCTGGCACTTACGTTTAAGTACTTGAGGTTAGGAGCGTCAATTTCAATGCACTCGAAATGAGTGGAGCCTGCCAGTGTTACTTTTTCAAGTAGCGGGCAACTAGAAACCAAATTTCCAACATATCTACCAATGCTGACTTGGGCAAATTCTACGACTCAGAATTCAAAATCGAGTCAAATCGGAGCAGAATCGTTCAATTGGTAAAATCGGAGGTAGAATCGGTTGCAGAATCATAGAATTGTACGATCCTACACGATTCTACCAAAACAGGTGCTTGGGCGGGCCTTTATAATATTTGGTCTTTGGGCCTTAATTGTATTAGTTGTTTGGGCAAGGTCTGGCCCAAAACTTATCAAATTATATGTTTTATTATTTATTTTATAAATTATAAAATACAAAGTAACAAAACATGAAAACAGAAAACCCTACTCTATTATAGAATTAGAAACGGAAAGTCAAGACTCAAGAGTGAGGACTGAGAGCTGAGAGGAGGCGGCAGTGCAGAGGCCTCTATAGAGCAGATCGGATCCATTCCATACAGCAGCAGGTTCGGCGGCTCGGCCAGGTATGTTCTATACTAAGAATTATTTTTCTCCCTCTTCTTTTAGTATGGAATCATGGATACAGTGAGTGGGCGATTACTGATTGCTATTCTCTAATTCTTCTCCAAATCTTCGTCCAGAAAATCTTATCAGTCTTGACACCCTTTAATTTCATGAAATTTTAGCCAGCGGAATCACAAATACTGCATTAATTTTTACAAATTTTGAAGCCAAATAATATTTTGATCTATCTGATATTGTTGTTAAAATTACATAACCAAATTTGAATTGAAACTAGTAGCAATGAGTAATTAAATAGCTACTTCAGAAAGGCACAAATAGTAGTACGAAAAAAAAAAGGATGTCCTGTAAACATTACAAGTGGTCTGTGGTTGCTTAATTTAAACCAGCTAAATGTAACATATTTCATTCAAGTTATACCTTTTCTTGTTTACTTTTTTTTTTTTTTTTTTTAAATATAAATAGGCATCAAAATGAGTGATATTCTTCATACCTCTAGTCCAAAAAGAAGAGAATAAAGTGAGTGCACAGCTTTAGGTATGGAAGAAAGAAAAAAATGTTGTTTTTGTTAAGGATTAATGACAATCATTATTCTGAATGCTTATATATATAATTATATATTATTGTTTTCTGTACATATCCTAATTTATATTCGTGTTATTGAAATGAGTGTATGATCAATTTTTACTTGTTGGAAGATTAAACTGGATACATCCCATGGGTTACAGAAAATTGTATCTTGTTGGAAGTTCTCAATTATTTCTCCTTTGTCAGAATGCTCAAACACTAGTTATATGAATTATATGAATGCAAAACTTTTAATTTTCGTTCTTTCTTTATGCTTTGTAGTTGAGGAAGTATATGCAATTGATGATAATGAAGATTTGCAGCCATTAAATCCCATTGATGAAGCTAATGAGGAAGATGGTGAAGTTGAATGATGACTTTATGGATACGTAATTTTAGTTTCTAGCTTTGGAGAGGGATGAGTTAGGATTTGAAATTTGTGGACCATGTTATTTTGTGTTACATTCTCTTTTATTTATATTCAGATTTTGAAATATTTTCTTTTATTTATATTCGCACTTTAGAATATTATTAGGATTTGAGATTTGTAAACTCATGGATATATAATATTGTGTGTTGTGACCTTATTTTGGTTATATTTTACATATCTTATTGTTTAAGAAGTTAGTTTTAATTATTTTTTCACAATTTGGTAGAATCTTACGATTCACGATCCAATTCTACGATTCCGATTCTACGGAACTCAAAACAATTCTACGTAGAATCCCGATTTTAACAACCTTGGACGAGACTACTAAATCCATTAAATGTAAGAGGAGGAACGAATTCACAATTACTGAGTTTCAAATGTCTCAGTTGTGAACATGAGAAGAATGAAGAAGGCAATGTATATTGCTGGTCCTTAGAAATACCGAAAGAAAATCCCATGACGCTCTTCCTTGACAGGAAAAGTATGAACTGGTCGATCTCATAAGAGCTTGCTAATTGAGAAGTACAGAGGCTGAACTTCAGTATTGGTCCATCATGAAGCAGTAGAACTTGATATATAGCCATGAAAAGTCTGCGTTGAAGTGACAGTTCATTTTCCTTTGAATCTTGGATCAATGTATCATCAAAGACAAGTTGTGGAATATTGGTCCAGTTATACCTCCATTTCTTTGACAAAATACTTGTCCTCGCAGCACCGCGCAACGGTAACAACATTAATATAGTCTCTATTAAATGGCTTGGAAGGTTACTGATTCTATCAGTAGGTTTACATCTACCTGTCACCATTTTATGATGATTGTCTTTCTTTTTCTTCCCGGGGATAATTTTGTTACAGTTATCAAAAAAGACAACTATATCAAAGGATTAAGCCCACCTGACAGAAAGCAATTTATATTATAATTGTTGACACAAATGAAAGGAACAATAAGACATGATATCTAAAAGAAAACAATCACATTATCAAGAAGAAAATATTTATGGAGAGATTTGTTCATATAATATCTATTTGTTCTAGTTACAAGTAGTATATCTATTTGTTCTAGTTACAAGTAGTACACACCATCAGCCAGATACTACAAGAAAATTAACGACAGATTTATTCATAATAACTGGCGTAAACTGCAAAAAAGGCCCCTCTCAAATTTCACAGATTTGCAAATGCCCTCTAGTAATGCAACTATCAAAAAGTTGCAAATCAGTCCACACTAGTATATTCACCATAAATGCATTGCGAAATTTCCAAACTAACTAAAGGACATAGTTTTGTTGAATTTTCTTTTTGCCCAAAAAAGAAAACAGAGATTGTGTGCAACCCGTTTTAAGATTAATCTACAGGCTTAGTGTAACAAGGGTCATTTGTCCCACATCGGAATCGGATGGAAAAGTGATTGGGTATAAATGGTTGGGTATGCAGCACTACCCAATAGTTCGAGTTTTTGGGTAAATGGGCAATCGCCCACCCGTTACAGTTGGTATCAGAGCCAGACCCAGTCCTTGATCCGATGTCATGCCAAGCACCCGACCCGGAAGGAGTCTGGGCTAGCATCCCGGGTAGGCAGGGTGGCCCGAACTGCAACGAGGGCGTTGCGAGTTTGGGTGGAGGAGAATGTAACAAGGGTCATTTGTCCCACATCGGAATCGGATGGAAAAGTGATTGGATATAAATGGGTTCGACCTTTTGGATAAATGGGCAAGCGCCCACCCGTTACACTTAATTACTTTCATCTCTTTCTTCTCATAAGAAAGCCGGATCCAAAGGGGGGCTAAGGGGGCTTGAGTCCCCAAAAAAAAAAAAAAAATTTTTTACTGTAATTTTTGTCCAAAAAATAATAATAATAATAATAATAATAATAATAATTCAGTAGTACTAGCCCACACCAGAATATATTAGCCCCAAACTATATTTCTGGTCCACTGTTGACCGCAACCATGAACGGTTTCTGCCTTTCCCTTCACTTACTCAACTTCTTCTTTGCTTCGTTTATGAACCAAATAGGAATCTGCTTCTACAGATTACGAAGTACCATTTTTTTTTACTCAAGTTTCTTCTTTGCTACCATTTGCAGAGCACTCGCAAAGCATAATTGTGCCATATTACAATCACAATTTGCAACACAGCCCATAAAAAAGTATCATTGTTTTGCATCAACACATAAATTTGCATAGGCAAAAATACACATGTAATATCTATATCCATATATTTATATAATCAAACTAATTACGTGACACACCACACATTCATCAATATGGATAAAAAAGGATTTTTGTCATAACAAAGGGTATTTATAAATATTTCAGGACAACAAATATCTCCGTCAATTCTGTAATGGTAGTCAGCAAACGGCAAGAGGTCGTTTAATGCGAATTGTACAAAAATGAAAGTTCAAGTAGCAATTTACGAAATCATAAAAGTTGAGGTAACAATTTGTTCAAGGAATTACCACGACATTGTTCCATTCTGTTTTCTTGAAATTCACAAACTAAAGATTTACAATCAGTGGCTAAGAAACATAATTAAGTACTTAATTGAATGTTTGAACTTGCTCCAAATTGTTCTGCAAATCAACATCCCTCCTTTTTGTAGGAAAAAAGAAGACTAAGAAGACAATCACATTGACAACTGAACTTAATACATTAATCAGACATGGTTGTACTGAGATTTTAAAGTTAATGAAAAAGAGCAAAGTGTCTGTTTTCTTTCTCTGTCTCATAAAAGTCAATAAAACAAATTTCTTCCAAATATAGGCGAAACCCAACAACATTATAGTTGAAGAGATGAAACTCATGTGAAAGACCGTGAGAATGCATAAGCTGCTGACTTAAAGATACGTAAACCCTAATTTGGTAGTATAGAAAAGAAATAAATATAAAATACCAGAGATTGAAGAGACCAGGGAAAGAGATTCTTTTTTTTTTTCGGTAAATAAAAAAAAAAGAAGAGATTCTTTATCTCCTCTTCTTCTTTTACCGTCAAAACAACTCTTGGCCGGCGACAAAGAGAAGGGCGAAGGATTGGAAGTTGTAACACATAGTCCGACGGAATTTTTTTTAAGACCCAAAGACTTCGTGGTACACGGCCAATGGAAAGAGTCTCATTTATATTTACCGAAAAAACAAAAGAGTCTCATTTATAACAGGAATGAAAATTTTATCATCCGGAGTAATATCTCCTATTCGGACAATGATCCTCTGCAAGAAAGGATACGTCATGCATACCTACCAACTAAGGTAACATCTCTTCTAGTGAGAGAATTCAATCCGGCTCATGGTTACTCAGAATAAAATCAAAATAAAATCTAAATAAGAAAAAAAAAAACTTTTAAAATATAGAAACTTTCTAAAAACACAAATTTCTTTGCAGAAAATTAGGTTCTCTCGTTGCATCATTTTAATAGGATGTAATATTATTAAGTCTCCCAAGTTTAAATCACCCAATTTATTATTTATTTATTTATTTATAAAAAACCTACTTGTTTCAGATCAAGTTAATATATTTTTCTTTTTATAAAGTAGGTTATTAAGATTTGGGATGACTCTAGGAACCTGAACAATCTGAAGTTGAAATGTAATGGGTTTATCAGAACTTGAAGGATTTGGCGTGAGATGAGGTGTTAGCTTGCCTAACTCGCCCTAGTCCCACTCTTAATGATAGACATGTCAATTGATTTTAATTGGCATTCAATATGATAATTTGGGGTAGGGCTGCAACTTGGGCGGGCTAACCCAGCCTAGCCCAACCCCAACCCAAAAATTTTGAAATTTGGACATACAATTTACAAATCGAATTATGTTCGGGTTAGGTTTTGTCAAAACCCAGACATATTCGGGTTGGTCTCGGGCTCAAGCCGAACCCAACCCAAAACCCAAATTAAAAAAAAATATATATAAAAATAAATAAATTTCTCCTTTCTCTCTCCTCTCTCTTTCTCTCTCTGCCGCCGTCCTTGCCACCGCCACCGCCGTCCCTCAGATCCACCGCCTCTTTCTCTATCTTCTTTCTCCTCTCTCTTCTTCCTCTTTCTCTCTCGGTCTCTCTTCTTTCTCTTTTTGCATTTTCAAAGAACTTCTGGTCATCATCAATCTTTCTCTTTCTCTTTCGGGTTGGGTTTTGATTTTTTGAACAATATGAAATGATCTGAAATATATGGGTTTTGAACTTTTGATTCTTGCAGACAGATCTGAAAAATATATGGGTTTTGAACTTCTGATTCTTGTAGATTTTGTAGTTTGTAGTTGCAGAGAGAGAGAGAGAGAGAGAGAGAGAGGTGAGAATGAGACCTGGAGGTGAAGGCGACTGGGGAAGCCGAAATATGAAAAAGGGAATTACCATTTTCTGCTACCTGTAATCTACAATCTTCTTCTGTACAAAATGTCTTCCAAATAGAGCTTTTTTGTTTTAATTTCTCAGAAAATCTAATCCCCCCAAAATAGAGATTCTACTCTTCACCTTTCGTACTCAACACTACCATTTATAAATATACATATTTTTATAAACTTCAAAATGTTGCTTCCAAAATTATCAACCCGTCACAACTATAATAGACACTACCATTTATATATATATATATATATATATTTTGGGGGTTGATGGCAAGCTGAAAGATATGGGTTTTGATTTTTTGAACAATCTGAAATGATATGCCGATATGGGTTTTCATATAGGTAATAGGTTTTGAACTTTTGATTATTGCAACAGATAGATAAACTGAAATATATAGGTTTTGAAATTCTGATTCTTGTAGATTTAGTACTTTGCAGTTGCAGAGAGAGAAAGAGAGAGAGAAGGCAAGTTCAGAGTTGAGAACGAGAATAGAGATGGAGGCGGCGATTGGGGAGGCTGAAACGATTTGCCCTAAATATTTATATATATATATATATATATATATATATAATCAAAAATATATAATATACATATATATATATATATATATATATAATATAAATTTCCAAAAAAAAAAAATTATAAAAAAAAAAAAACTCAACCCGTCAACCCGACCCAACCCGCCCGAAAAAATTCAGTTTGGGTTATGACCACAACCCATGTTGGTTACAATTCGAGTTGATCCAACCCAACCCGATTCAGGTTGAGGTTGGGTTGGGGCTGGGCTGGGTTGGGCCAGCCCAACTTGCAACCGTAATTCGGGGTATGAATTGAAGATTTAGTTTGTAATTTTTTAACGCTCTAAATAAATAATAAGGTCACCAGCGAAAAACACCCTTATAATATATATATAGAGTGTATAACCCCCTATACTTTCTGAAAAATTCATAATATTTAATTTTTGAACAAATAATGGCCTGAATGGTGGAAAGACTAGTGTCCCCTTTTTTTTTTTTTTTTTTTTTTTTTTTTTTTTTTTTCCTTCCTTCTTATATATAAGAGCAATATTGGAAGATAAAAGAGTATTTAAAAAAAATTATATGTTAAAAATGTCATGTAAATTTGTAACCAAATTTTGACCTCAAACACTTCATTGATAATTTTTTTAAACTTAACACACTTATATATCCAAAAAAAACTTTAGGGGTAATATTTGCCCAAAATTTTAAGTGTTTTTTTTTTTAAAAAAAAATTATATGGATTGTGGTCAATCTGATTCGATAATAATCCGACCCAACAAACTATATTATATATTATGTAGAACATATATAATCTAATTTTAGGATTCGGATGGCCTTATTTGAGGGGTGTCCAGTTCAAGTTGCCCCTGCATTTTTTTCCTTCTTATGTTCCATCTGTATTTTTTTTTTTTTTTCTTTTTTACCTATGTTCGCTCTGTATTTTT